GCCTCGGAAACCCAAGGAGGGGTCGCTATGAGTTGGGTTTGACTCGACGGCACATAACAACAACAACAACAACAATTATCTCTACATATAATTTATTAGAAGTGATAGTCTGGTTTACATCTTGGTAATTTGTGAGTTTAGGTAATAACAACAGTAAATTTACTGGAACCTATTCCATACTGTGTGACTCATGTAGCTGAGAAACTATAGATAGACTTATAGAGTAGTTGAAGGATCATTTTCAATAAATCTTAATTGCTCTCTATTAATTTACTTACAGGGAGTCTATAGTCGCTATCTTCTGGGGAATAATGCATCAGAGAATAGCTTTCTGTTTGCCGATATTGTGAAACCTCTGGCAGAAACTGGATTACAACTTTCAAAAAGGCAAGCAAAACTGATTGCTTGGCTAACTCAAATTAGAGCCGTTATTGTACTTAAAACAGGTAGTAAATATTATAAACTTTAGGAGGATAGGAATTGTTTTTATCGCTTGCACTATGATTGCTTCTTCTAACCACAGCAGTTGTTTAGGAAATCGCTTATATGCTAAAAATAAAGTAACCTCAAATATAAAGTAAATCCCCATATTCGTAATGAAAAGTATTTTTATGCCACCAGAGCTCCTAAACTGTTAAAGCTACAGAAAGGATTGTTAAATGTTTCCTTATAATATTTGTTACTTACACATACCTCTCGGAAGAAGGCTGGGCAATCACTTCCATAGTGATGCTGCCTCGGAAACCCAAAGAAGGGTCACTATTTAAAATTACATATTCTATAAAATGACTTACTGATTTCGAAATACTGCTTTCTGCCACTGTCACGTTTCATGAAATTTTATTCAGACCTTCATAAGGATCTGTGACTTCAAAGTCTCCACCAGCAGAGCACTTTGTGAGTCATCTAACACACTTTGCCAATCACATTTCTATCCAAGTGGCCAGTGATTTCCCTGGAAATCCTCCCTAAGTCACCAGTACCCATGGCATAGCATTAGGACAGTTGTTTTTTACGGCTCATCTTACAGATGGACATTTGTGACAACATAACTACTTACTGTGTTGCCCTTCATAAAGACCAATGAAGATTTTATTTATAATGCCATCCAGTGGTTGTATTTGTGAGATATATACCAAAGAATAATTATTAAATTTATGTTCAATGTCTTTGCTTCATTTTTTAAGAGATTCTGACAGGTGGCTTCAATAAGGATTCAAACCACCTTGACTGAGGTCATTCCAGGCTCATATGTTTTCCCCTAAATAGTACTTTAAGCATTAAAATTTAATGTACAAAATATAATGATTCTGTATTCTCTCTATAATATGAGAGACAAGAAAACAAAAAACAAAACATAGCAAGTCATTCTGAGGGGTTGAAGGGATGGGGTGGAAAGACTTCCTATTATATTCAGAAACATATAATGATTTGGGACATCTTTGTCATGCTTTTTTTTTTAAAGAACTTTTAATATTATACAACCACAGACGGATACTACTGGACACATGTTTATGCAGACTAGGACAGGCCAGGAAGTCCTCACAAGGGTGAAGTATTTCATGAAACAACACATCCTTCCAGCTGAAAAGGTAAATATTATATAAACAATGTATTTGTGTTAAAGGACTGTTGATAACTTACTTCTTACCTCTGCTTCCAGGAATAGAAGCCAAGGTGGTATCATTATCTTTGCCATCAATCCTTACCTAGATTCCTCTCTTTACTCCAGCGCTGGGAGTCCCTGAGTGATGCAAAGAGTTGCTCAGCTACTAACCAAATAGTTGGTTTGACTCTATCCAGAGTACTTCAGAAGAAAGGGCTGGTAGACTACTTCTGAAAAATCACCTTGAAAGCAGTTCTACTCTGACACACGTGGGGTCACCATGAGTTGGAATTGACTCAATAGCAATTGTTTTACCCTAGCACTGAGCTGCTAACAGGAAGTTCCAAGCTTGAGAAGAATGCAAAGGGTATACCACAGATAAGTTTGTGGAATGAAAAATAAGCCAAAGGGGACTGGTTGATTGTAAGGCTGGATTCCTAAATAATTTTTTAAATTATCATTATACATCCCGTTGAGAATTTAATGAGAACTGTAAACTACATGATTGGACGTACCCCCAAAATTTTGCATATCATTTCATGATGTTCATAGAGCCTATGACCTCTCTCCTCCCTCAGATAGTATTTTTAAGATGTTAAGTTTCAGTTCACTGAGAGTGGAGAGGCAACATAGTACGTTAACTCATTCAGTTAACAAATAAGTATCAAGTACCTAATAATGCGTTAGGAGCCCTGGTGGCACAGTGATTAAAGTGCTCAGAACCCACTAGCTACTCCATGGGAGAAAAATGTGGCAATCTGCTTCCATAAAGATTGCAACCTCGGAAATCTTGTAGGGTGGTTCTACTCTGCCCTATAAGTTTGCTGTGAGTCAGCATTGACTTGATGGTAGTGGGTTAATAATGGTTTGGGTACCTGGGGAGCTACTAAGGGTAAAAGAAAGAAAAAGATAGACAGGGCTTATACTACTATGTAGCTTACAACTTAGCAAAGAAGAAAGCCATCAACCAAGAGATGATAAGTGCTATGAAGAAAAGAGGAAAGCTCTTATGAAAACATGTAAGAGAGTAGAAATACCATTTGATCCAGCAATCCCATTACTAGGTATATATCCTAAAGAAGTAAGAGGCAGAACACGAACAGATATATGCACAGCCATGTTCACACAGCACTATTCACAATAGCAAAGAGATGGGAACAGCCTAAGTGCCTATCAACTGAGGAATGGATAAACAAACTATGGTACATACACACAATGGAATACTATGCAACCTTAAAGACTAATGTAGAATCACATAATGTGGATGAACTTGGAGGACATTATGCTGAGTGAAATAAGTCAATCACAGAAGGACAAATATTGTATTAGTCCACTTGTAATAACTCATGGAAAGATTTATACATAGAAGGAAACTTTCTTTGTTGGTTACCAAGGATGGGAGGGGAGAGGAGGCTAAATTCCTAGATAGGTTGGGGAATATATATATATATACACACACCAAAGATTCTTAGTGGTTACCAGGGGTAGGAGCGAGGGGGAAAGGAGAAGCTTTTGTCTGCAGGGCATTGAGTTTAAGTTAATGGTAGTGGAATATTTTGGAAAAGAATAGCAATAATGGTGGCACAATAATGGCACAACAAAAAAAAAAAAAAAAATGTAAGGGAGGTTGGGCAGGGTATGTGTGTGGGTAGAACTCTGGTGCAGAAATTGTAAGACATTGATTGTAGTCCACCCTGCCATGAATTAGGAGGTCTGCAAGTAACTTTATCTCTGGGCCTCAGTTATTTCATCAAGAACATGAGTAAGTAAGACTGGTTATATAATAAATCCTCATTTTAATCATCTGTGATTCTGAGAATTCTAGAGCTATTCTGGCAAAGTCAAATATGAAAATAAAAAATGACCAGAACTTCTTTCAACAAAAATGTTCAGAGCTGATATGTGTTTATGGGGCAGATAATGTTATTACTTGAATTAAATGAACAATTACCATGTTTTTAGTAAAGATCTGGGTTAAGATGAACTCAGCTCACAGAATGGGATAACGTACATACAATTTTAATTTGATGAAGTTGTAACATAGTCATCTCTCATTTGTGTTCAGTGATTAAGGTATCACTTTGGAGACTTTCTGCTCTGTTTTCTTTTTTTTCAATTTTGAGCTTTAAAACACTGAACTTTTAGGTATTTAAAAGAGGATGCAACGTTTTTGGTTCAAGGTGGTAGACTGAATTCAGCATTTACCCTCTCTCCCTCAAATAAAATCCCACGGAAATAACAACAAAGAAGTTTTTGAAAAAATAAAATACATTTATATAATGGGAAAACAGGAGGGTGATACATCAAAAGACTGAAAGTTTTAAAAGTAGAATAAAAACTGGAATTAGAAAGCCAAATGAATCCATACTAAGGAATATAATAGAGGAAACCTCATCTCAACAGAAATCAGAGAAGGCTGCAGCAGGGGTAGTAACCATTTTTTCATGGTGGAGCCCCCTGTGATTGGCTGATATGAAGAGCAAGAGTGAGAAGAAGAAAAATTGAGCTGCTTAACTGAGGAATTATCTGCAGAAAGGCTGCATGGGTTGGTCTCTAACATTTCTATCCAACAGACAGAAAGCTGTAGTAGTACTTACTCTAAAGAGAGTAATGATCTGCTTCAAAGAAGCCAGGGCTTCTAAAGTGACAAGTGGTGTCCTAGCATAGGATCCTCCATATTTTGGCTTTTTTTTTTTCCCTTGTAGGGGAGGAGTTTCATGAAGACCCTGCCTTCACCATCAGCCTGCCTGGTTCCCATTTACAAAATCCATTGCTGAATTGATTCCTACTCATAATGACCCTATAGGACAGAGTAGAACTGCCTCACAGGGTTTCCTGGGCTATTATAATCTTTACTGAAGCAGAATGCCTTATCTTTCTCCTATAGAGCAGATGATGGTTTCAAACTGCCAACCTACTGGTTAGCAGCTAACCTTTTGGTTAGCTTAACCACTGTGCCATTAGTGCTCCTTGATTCCTACCTGTTTCTCCTGCAAATTTTTTGTTACCTATGTATTTACCACATACATATACACAAAAATATATTTACAAAATAAATAAATAAAAACTGTTTTCTTCTATAGAATAATTCTGAACAATACTAATCCCAATCTATGAAACACACATTAGGAGTGATATTTAGAGAAAAGTAAATAGCTTTTTCAAAAGGCACGGGAAGAGAGTCTATATGATTCTATTCAACATTGTTATAACTACCCTTACAAAAATCAAACCAGTTATGTCTAGAAAATAAGATTTTATCATATAATATACCAACATGTTGACAGTACCTACATTTAGCTCTCTTGATTACTTTTTCTTTGCACTTTTATAAAAATTTTAAAATATCTATAGTGGAAAAAAGGGTAAGCTTTACTGTAATTATTCTAATGGCCTTTTGAAACTTCCTGGATATCTAAAACTGATGTGGAGGCTGAGAACATAAGAATCAGTTATCTATGAAAATATTAAAAGCCCTTTCTTCCTATTTAAAATGGCAAAGGAATCCTAAAAATAGCATTTTAACAGGAACTAACAATGTTATGTGTGAGAGAGCACTTTTAACATGATGGTAACATAAATCATGTTTTCCTGCTGAGTCTAGAAATGCACTAGAGAAGAACTGTTAACTTTTTCTTTCTAATAGACTTAAGCTTAAAGTGAAAAACACATTATGTTACAAAATTATTTGTAGACTTCCAGTCAAGATTCTGAACCAACATACTCCAAACTAGTGTCTCAATAAATAACTGAAGAACTAGCATATTAAAGGCAATACTTTGGAAAGACTGACTAGGCACCAAGCATGTTTACTGCTTTCTTATTTCATCAAAAAAATATTTTTCATGTTTTAAGAACTAAATAAAACTTCTTTGTAATGAGAAATTTTATTTTAATTCTGAGTTCTATCACACACCACAATAAAGTTTGTAAATCTCTAAATGGGTGAACTTTAGAAAAAGGAGTATTAAATAATATATGTTTTAAAATAAATATTTAAACAGTTCCATGATTTAATTTCTCAAGACTGTAGTATCAGAAAAATGTAGTTAGAGATTAGGACATAGTAATTGTATTACCCAGTGTGTTTCTTATAAAACACAGTTGTTGTTGTTGTTGTTGTTATGTGCCGTCGAGTCAGCCCCGACTCATAGCGACCCCTCCTTGGGTTTCCGAGGCAGTATCACTACGGAAGTA